CCCCCCCCTCGGGGTTTGCCATCGGGATTGGGTTTTCGTCGCCTGGCAACGACGTTGTAAAACAAGCCAGTTCACTTCGTGAACTCGGCTACCAGGTTACCGCTTTTTTTTTAACTCTATTTTTTTGTTTTTGCGGTAACCATAATGGTGGTCGAGTAGATCATGTTGTGCGGGGTGGAGAAGCCTCACTCCGCGCAAGGGTGATGATCGCACCACGTTGTGTTAAAATGGTTAAGCACCCTCGAGGCAGTTACACAGTTCTAACATCTGTCTCTGGAAGTGAAGTACCAGAAAATAAATTAATTCATACGCAGCTGTCATCCGTACGCAAGGAAGTAAGCACAAGATGCCGAACACCCTTAGAAGGATGCACCGCACCCTTCATGCGACACGCCAAATACCTCACGGCGCTTCGCGCTTGGTGATGTGAGAGCCTGGTCCGGGGAGAACCCGGCGTGCTCCGTCCCGGCTTTGTAGGGATGCGAGGTCAATGGTCTAACGACTACGGCATGCACGTCTATGAGTACCCCCCCCCTTCCCCCCCCCCCCCCCCCTCCTCATAACAGGGCGTCCGCTGTGATCTTCGCTTCCTCGGCTAGCAAGCAAGGGGGATCGGCGAAGGCAGTTGACTACGAAGGCAAGGCTCTCGCCGAGAATCGAGAATTTGCCGCACCGGTATCCCTCCAAAAAACACAGCACAACGCTACAGTCACGGAAAGAGTAAGCAATGGGGAAACAGCAATTTATCCATTTGTTCTTGCTGCTGTTATGCAACGTACGCATGTGGCAGGTGTTGTGAACGTCGCTAAGGCTTGCCTGGAAGCGAAGGTGCCGCGGCTGGTTGTGGTATCTTCAGGCGGCGTGGCTACCCCGGATTCGTCCATCTACAAGTTCCTTAACCTCTTCGGAGAGGTACTTTTTTTTTTTGCAGTCCTGCGCAACGGAAAATATGACCAGCAGCTTCGTACCCGCTCGTTGCAGAGAGCATGGCCTGTTTCTGCTTTGTCCTTCCCTTGATTCCGAAAACTCCCCCCAAAAAGTGCTATTTAGTAAACACGTTGATCACATCGCAAATTTACCAAGGGTGGGTTACGTTCCGTGAGGCTGTCTTGATGATCATGAGTATGTTTTGGTAACGTTAAGGCGCGCACAAGACCAACATGGCGGCAGCAGTGTCAACTGCTGTGCAGCGAGTACAGGCCAGCGTGCGGAGTCTAACCCTCCGTACCGCTGCGCGTTATTGCGCTTCAACGACTCGGGCGTGTGGAACGGGTTTTCTGCACCGGACTGGGCCTCCACGTTCCACTTTCGCCGCCGCGGAAACGAACCGAATATACAGATCATGTCGTGGAAGATACAGGGGGAGGATCAGGTACGCCTCTCTTGTGCATCAAGCATGCTGACTTCAAGCCTTTATTCACCGCCGTAGCGCTGGCTGGCCGTCATCTCTTCCTTTTCACATTTGGCTGTCACGCTTGTTTCGGTTTGGGCTGGGTCGCTTTCTGACCTAAAACCGATTGTTGCAGGAATAATCGGCGTTGGTCAAGTCGTGCATAGTGTGGTGTTGGAGCACGAATAGTTGCGGCCTCCTGATCTCCGCTTGTGAGAATCCTAACACGCACTGCCGTTTCATGCGATATCCACTTGCCACGAGCAGCTGCGGTCCATGTACGCCGCGCAGGACGTATGCCACTACACCATCGTCAGGCCCGGTGGTGAGAGAACTCCGTCCTACCGTTGAGCCTCTCTGATTGACCTATCATATTGATACACTGTGATGGGTGTCGTCCTCGCTGTCTGTTGCTTCTGTGTCAGCCGAGCCAGACAGTTGTGTAAATTTTCACTCCCTGTTATGCTCGCCGTGAGAGGTTAGTCTGCAGGGTTTGTTGCTTAGATTGCGCCTTCCTATTGAGTGTGCTTCAGTGGAGTGAAGCTCGACCACAGCCTCAACGCCTGTCGCTGCTGCTGCGTATCGATCAACGCCTCAGGCCTGACGTTAGACCCTCCAAGGGGTGTCACGGCCATCGAGCTCAACCAGGGGGACACTAAGAGCGGCCGCATCGCGCGGGCAGACGTGGCGCGCGTTTGCGTCGAGTCCATCTACAGGTGCTGTTTGATATTCGGCACGCCACTCTTGACTACATTCAGCGCTAAGAAGACGCCAGAAATCGGCAGTCTCCCATGAACATTAACATCTTTTGTTTTCATTGATTGACCCGTTCAGGCAGACTGCCAGGTACGTGTCGCGGCAAGTTCAAGGACAGAACCGGGCCGAAAATCTGGATCATCGGTGCCGTCCTATCGTTGGTAGATTTCGGACTGATTGGCACGCGCGGCTTAGAGTTGCTGGTGTTGTGGACCGTCTGCGCTCGTCTTGCAGTAGGGCTATCGAGTCTTTGTAGCAGTTTCTTGCAGTCGTGACCCCTGTGTTGAAACCAAATTGCCACGAACCGCTTCGTCTTCACGTCATGTCGATTACCAGCCGGAACGCGGAGGACTGCACCTTCGAGTGCTACTACAAGGTGAGAAGTTGGTGTTGGTCCCACTCTTCACCTTTGACATTTTTTTCCAGTCCAGGAATGGAAACCTTTCGCCACAAGCTTCCCGCTCATTCGCCGTGGATGATACCGAGAATTAAGTTCGGCCCCTACCTCTGTTGTTGAAAGCAGCGGGTGCATCCTGTGCGCATGCGCGGATTGTTTTTGCCCATTGAACCTATGGTGGCCGTTCTAGGTGGTAGCACGTGATTTTTCTTGCCTGACCATCAGCTAGTCTCGTGCGGAAGTCAAGGCAAAGTTGGCAAACCAGCCGACGCATTCGTATGGGAGAATTAAAGGTGTACTGTTAGAGTGCTGTTAGACGAACGATACCTAAATGCCTTCTGTATGCATCTGAAGTTCATGAGTGCACCACGTCATATCCAGCTGGTTATAATAGCGTGTCTCATCTAACGTGACGCACAACCTTCCTGTGCTCGAGGCAAAATCTCGTATATTCACCCGTGCACGTGGGTCTTGTTGAACACGCCGGACTGGTGTCCCCCGGCACTCTTTTGCTTCTCTCCGCTGTCCCCCTTGCAGGATACTGCCAAACCGCTTGCGGCCGTGGGCGTTTCCAACATCCTGAAGCAGAAAACGTAAGTTTCACCGTAGTGGTCATGGTAGCACGTGGCTCGGGGTTTTCTGCCAGAGTTTGGAAAAAAAATCCTCCGTTGCAAACGTTTGCCCTGTGGTACCACAACAACACCCGATACTGCCTTTGTCGCTCCTACCGCTGCACCCACATCACGACAACGCTCTGCCCGCTTGGCGTCGTTCATGACAGGGACGACACCGCAAAGTCTTTCGGTACCGAGAGCACCGGCGACTCTTGGGACGCCCTCTTTTCCGGGTTGAAACGCGACGCATAGAAACCCGGAAAAAGCAATTGCTGGGACGTGGGCAACGTTGGCTCGACACCCAGTTGGCTGAACAATCCAGAGCATGATTGATTCAAAGAACTTGTGTGCAACCTTAGAGGCTAGGCATAGAGATACCAGGGTAGAACACGTTGGGCTTGGGCGGCGGAGAAAGGAAGAATGTTCGACGTGTCCATCAGTGCGCCCCAGCATGTATGGCGTGTTGAAATCCATCGCGGGACTGTTGCTGTAATGCTGCAATGTATCGGACACAGGTTCCCAACCTACACTACAACCTAGGGAGCATTCCGCTTGATGATTCCACGCACTCATACAACAACATCCACCGTTACAGCATGAAACGCGGCTCTTGTTGCGCTCCTAGATTCCTCGACCCTCTTTCACGTCGTCCATCACACTTCTTGACTACAACAAGGTGAGGCCGCAGCAAACAGATGGCAAGCCCCCGGACTGATCACAGAAAACCGTGGGAAACGCCAACGTTGGAATCCTTCTTAGACATTGCCTGGCTGAAGACCAAATTCTCTCTCAAGCTGTGATCCTAAAGAACACTCCTGCACTACTTGCAGTTCGTCGGTCTACTGCCGCCGTCAATGCGTTGTCCCTCTGCGCTTCGTTCGAACTCCTATGCATGCACAAAGAAACAGACCAGCAAGTACTGGTAAGGTTAACGCACACCTCTCCGAAAGTGCTGCTACAGCAGCAGAAATTCGGCACGTCCCGTACAAGACACCAAACTCCTGCACACGCGTGACCTCGCTGGACACTCCGAAACACCGCATGTATATGCACTGTGCTGGCTAACGCCCAGCCGAGCGCGTGAACATTCTTGGTAAAAAAACTGCCCGGGACGGCATTCCCCCGGGCGCCTACGAATTCTCTTTTTATTCTAGTGGGAGGATGATCACCAAGACAAGTAAAAGGGTCACAAGCTTTGCGGCACACCATAAAGGCCGCACAACTCGAACTATCATATGTGCTTGACGGCATTAGCACTGCGGGCGTGCTTGCTGATGGAGAGGGGTTCAAAATAAAAAGGGGCAAGGGCAACATCGAATGTTGCTAAAATATAGACAGACGTCAGGCCACCAAGAACTAAGACGCAACACCCGGGGGTGTGACGGCGAGCTTTGCGTACATAAAGCTGTCTACCGGTGCCCGCTTGGGGGCGTCGCAATGTTTTTCGGGAGGGAGTTCCCAATCCCGGGGGCGTTAAGCACCTGCAAACAGCCGGTGGGCTCCTTCTTGATTTCACACGTCGTACATGCCACAGACAAAAATAATCAAGGGTATCCGCAGGAAAACCGCCCGCTACAGCACATGTGTCGCGTACGAGGTGCGAGAGGGAACGAGCGCTGCATCAAAATTTCGGTTCGAAGGCCCTTAGTCATTGTACAAGGACATCGTCTCCTTTTCTGCAGACTGGCGTGCTCTCTCGTTGGCGTGCTGCTGCCGGATCGAGTCTTCCGAGAGGGGATCGACTTGAGCAAGGTCCCTCCTTTGTTAAACGAATCTGCGGTCTTCTTCGTCCTCAACGTCCTCTTCGTGCGCATTCTCACCGTCGGCCTTTCCGAGCAGCGTGTTGGATACCTCGGTGCGAGTCTGGGTGGGCGCGGAGGGCATTGTTGATTCTCAATCCCTGAATGTGGGTTTCGTGCAGTTTCCATGAAGCCTCCACCGATGAGATTGGGATTTTTTCCCACATGGCATGAGATGTTGCGTAAGCTGTCTATGTGCATATACATAGCTTGTATACACCACCTATCGATATACTTGTACCACCGAAGTCTTGGGTACAAGAAGAAACTCAGCATTGGAAATACAGCACACCGAATGCGCACGTCGCAGCCGTGTAGTGCGGCTCACAAAAGCCCATCGGTCTCTGCCCGTGGTACCGCCCAAATACACACAGGTGATCTGAAACACACCCCAGCAGGTGATGTAATGGTGCTTGGTATGGTTCGGGAACGCACGTGTGTACCCTCGCTTCCCTAAGTTCGGCCCTTGCTCGGGCGGAAGGACCGTTATGTTGGAACGGCCGTTTTTTTAATCGCTTTTGTGGGTAGATCATGGCCGCTGACGCGTTGCTGTTGATCGGATCTGTCGCGACGTCATCCTAACAACGGCACAAAAGCCCCGTGTATGTCCCGTATTTAGTTTCATAGACTGTATGTTCGCGGACAAGGAGAACATGACTCTTCGGGTCGCACCTTTTTGCTGCGGGCGTCAAGATACTCTTGCAGTTCCCCGCCCAGGGCCATGGCGAGTCGACTCTTCCCTTCCGTCCTCACCTCCCCAGCTCGAACCGCTAGCGCTGGCCCAGTTGAAAGCCTTGGCCGGGGATCCGCCTCTTTCCTTTCTGTTGGCCGCCCAAGCTTGGTCGTCTTCGTGGTTGTACTTTTGTCGCAGTTTCTCTTGCTTCTCCCTGGCTTCGTCCACCTCTCGGAGGTGCTTCTTGCACTGGATGGTCATGTGCGGGCCCGACCCTTTCCACTGCTTATCGTGCTTGCGCTGGACTCTCGCGGCTTGAACCGCGCCGCAAAGAGGGAGGAACCTGCCACGGCTTTACCGTGACACGACAACGCGGGAAAATCCACCATAAATTAGATTACATTTCACCCCGTCCTGCTTTGCATGTATTCCTGTAGACCACCCTATCCAACCTCACCCCTCCTGCTCTCGTGCTCTGTGGCTTGCTCTCCTTTTCACTCCTTTTCACTCCTTTTCACTCCTTTTCACTCCTTTTCACTCCTTTTCACTCTGTCGCGTGGTGTAGAGAATGTCGGTCTGCCGTACCTACCTCGCACTGCAACCTTAGTGCTCGCAGCATCCGACCACACCGCCTTGGAGGTCGCACTCGTGGCAGTGCCGCTTCTGTTTCGCCCGAGCAAGAGCTCCAACTACGCCCGTCGGGGGCACATAGTTTCCGGCTGCCAACAGGGAGAAAAGTCGCATCAGGGGAGAGGGCGAGAAGGTATACGTAGTAGCGGGCCCTGACTGAATGTGCAATTTTGCATCGCCAGAACGGCGCCCTGACACTGTAGTCGCCGAGGCTTCTCAGGGTCTCCTTCATTTTAGATCGTGGAATATCCTTGCGTAGGAATGCCGACTATGATCAACAATTGCTGGAGTTGGCGTTTCGAAACTACGAGTTCCACGTCGGGCTTTTCTCCATTGCTCGTTCTCTGTTCTCAAGAAGCACCTTCGAGGTAAGTTCTTGTGCAGTCAGCACTGGTTAGGCCTGCCAAGTAGATCGGTTTAGCGGGGGGGAAAGGCAACAACTGTTGAGACGAACAGACCTTCGTCGAAGTCCGACGGGACTTCTGCATCCCGGACGGCTTTCTTGAAGCACAGGTAGTGCACAAAGTTGCCCTCGTGCGTCGCGATCATGGAGTAGGACTTTGCCGGGGTGATGGAATAGGACTTTGCGTCTCGACCCCTTTGTTGGCAAACCAGGCACCTGTCGTAGAGAGAACAACAGATGAGACGATGGCCACAAGAGACGACAAAACAAAACGGAAACAGCTTCCTCCTTCCCAAAATAAGTCGTGGTAGTGTACGTTCTCCATACGGAACGTACAACCCCATCGCTTGGATCAGAGGGGAAACCAGTGTGGGGAATAAACTGTTGTGCTGGTACAGCAGGGTTCAAATTCTCGTGTTCGTGTAATTTGAGCCCTAAAGCCTTCAACAACCAATGGGCACGTGGACTGGACGTCGGCGCGCGAGGTTTGGGTCCCTCGGCGAAAAGCGTGTCGGCGCTCCTCACAGGGCACTCCGTTGGCCTCGCGACAGGCGTTGCACACAAAGCTTCCGTGCTCCCTCCGGACGCTCCTTGACTCCACGGGGTAGCAGCTCTCGTGAACTGTCGTGTTGCAGCCGTCCCTTTACCAATGCGTTTGTGGTCCATCCATCCACACCGGTGTAGAGGAGCGCGAGGACCGGGCGCGTTGCAAACTTAGTTTTGAATCCACACAAGCAAATGGTTCCCCTGCCAGCCGGATATGCATAGCAAAACCCAGACCCAGGAGCGTTGGCTGAGGATAGAGACACGTCGTGGCCATTGTATTAGGACACCAGCCTGGCAAAAATACCCAGGGTGCTGGGGCCGACCGGCTACACGATTTGCCACGACTATCACCAACGGTTGGGGGGGGGGGTTGTCGGTTAGGTATTAGCGTGTCAGCTACTATCCCAGTGCCGCACATACGCTATAACTCACCGCCGGCACACGAGCAAAACTCTCTGCTGTTCGTCCGTGGCCGTACCCAGGCACACCCCGCACTTGCCACTGGTCGGGGCAGGGGAAGGGGCAGGGTCTGCCGGGCGGCGGAAAAAATCATCCCAGTCTTCCATCAAGTTAAAGTTGTCCGCCGCACGTCGCGCCGCCGCTGCCGCCCCCACCGGGGGCGGCGACATCCCCGGTGCCGACGCCCGGCGTGGAGAACGTCTGGCAACGCTTGAGTCAACGCCGGCGTCGATCTTCCTGCCCAAACAACAGTCGGCTCCCGGTGCGACAGGGTCTCGTTCGATGAAGGAATCCTGGTTGAGATTCCCCGGGGTCTCTGTTGTCGCTGGGTCAGGCCCAGCGCTCGATTGGTCGTCATCGCTGTCATCGGCGACTGGGACATGGGGGCCGAGCAGCCTCTCTCCCGCACACCAAGCCTGTGCTGCCAGAGACTGGGAGCGCTCTCTGTGAGATGGGGAAGGTGTTCGAGAGCACGAGGAGGGGGTGAAGAACATAGCGGTCTCCCAGAGTAACGTTTCTTGAGGAACGCAATCGGCCATGACGAGGTCCTGGTGCAAAGTTCTTCATGCGATCGTGCTGAACAATGAACAAAACATGTTACATATATTCAAACCCACCAAAGTGACGGGTAGTGTAAGTGTCACCATAGTGGTGTCCAGGTATTTGGCGTTTCGGCTCTGCTATTTGCCGGACCGATGACGACGACCTGTCCAAGGCGAGACGCTCGATTATCTCACTTTGACGCCTCGGTGTTGACGTTGAGAGAGGAAAGGTGCGTACCCTTGAGCACAACGGCCTTCTCCGGCACTTGGGCGAACTCGTCGCCGCTCGATTCGTCCTGTGCCCGACGAAAACGAAGAAAAGGACTGGTGAGAATGTTGAACAAGACTAAACAGTCCCCGAACGAACGCAAAGGTAAGCCTGTTTAGTCTATGGCATCCGATGTACGTATTACTCCGCATGAACCAACCTTGACTTGATCGTTGCTTCCTGTATCCAGCTCCTCACAGACGGTTTGCTCTCTTCTCATGACAAGACCGCAAGTAATGTTTTTGTCGCAGAAATGGCAACACTTTTGCACCAGAAGCCAGCCGGTTAGGCACAAGAGCGGCGACGCTGGGGACAATCAGACACTACAGGAACAGACGGCGGAAAAAAAAAAACTTGCCGCTTCACGTGAATCGCTTTCACGACAGTCGCTAACAAAGCGGCGTTTGGCACCAGTTTTAAACTCAAACCACCGGACTTTGTTAACCGCGCGACAACCTCTTCCATACAATACACCCAAAAAATCATGTTACTCCTGGACAGTGCCAAACTCTATGCCGGTGTAGATACGAGTGATTGCTAATGAGAAAAACACAAACCTCCTCAGATTGCGGGTTGGGTACGTAGGCTTCGTCCTCACTCTCCTCCTCGCTGCTGCTCTCGCTATCTGCGGTATACTTTTTCTTGCCAGCCCGGGCGGCGCGATTGATTGAGTGTCGCAAGGTAAGGAAACGGAGCATACACATACGTCCCGGACGTGTACACCATAATATATCGTCAGTAAACGTTGAACAGTTCGTGATCTGAGCGAGGGCAGGCGGCGCGGGTTCACATGAAACTCGAACGGGTTGCATTCGAAGCGTCGCCATCGATGGTTGCACGCTAACGTGCGCACAGTATCGAAGCACAAACCATGAAAAGGGAGGAAGCGCGACGCTAACATGTTTAGGGGGGTGGTAAGCAAATACTTCAGACTATTGATTGCCCCCCCACCAATGTGCCGACCGATTTCACTACTCCTTTCGGCCGCCAAACTCATTGTCCAAGCTCTTCCTTCTTCTTCTCCTCCGGGACTGTCAGCCCGATGGTCGTCGTCCAAAAGTCCTCGGCATCCACGTCCACCTGCAGCGCCGCAGCACGGCAAGGCAGATTTCGACGAGATAGGTTACATCGCCGGAGGCGTGACGACGCAATATTCTCTGGTGTTCATGGACTAGACGAGTTCGAAATGTATGCCTCTCTTGGCCAACCTCTTGCTGAATGCACACGTGGATCGATCCTGCGAGGGAAGCTTCCGCTTGTGGGCGGTCCCGGTACTGGCGGAAACTACCGCCGTACTTGGTTTTACCGGACTCTACAGGAGGGTGCCATAAAATCGGACCTCTTTGGCGGTGGAAGCGATTGACTTCTGCTTTTGCTGCGGTCTCGTGGCGGAGAGCACAGCTTCGTCGAGCCCCAGTTTCCTGCTTGCGGCCTTGAACATGTGCGTCTCGCGTCATGGCCACCAGGAGGCGGAATACCTTTCGGCACCAGTGAAAGAAAAGACGGCATTCGACAGCCATTCAGAAACTGACTTAGGTCGGCTTGTTCCGGCCACGAACGCATGGGCTCTGTCGACGGACACTAGATTCGTTCGCCAAGTTTAGCATATTATTGTCTTGCTACGTTTATGATGATTTATCTAGGCCCTTTTTACTCTCGTTAGATTCTTCGGAGTGTACCCGTTGTTAGGTAGTTGGCCTGTGACCACGGAACGTTCCTAGTCAGTCGGACAAGTACGGGTGTTGAAAGGTACTGAGTAGAGATTCGAACGGTTCCAAAAATTAACACACGCACAACAACTAGTACGTTGCAGCCTGGGCCTGACATACCGCGGGTGCTGGCACCAGATTTGTCTTCCAATCGTATTAAGCTGCATGTTCGCCAGCCCGCCGTAGATCTACTCTGGAATACTAACGCTTCGGAGACGCTTATTTCCTTTTACGGTTTCTTCTACCTTGACGCTCTTGGTCTGCCCTATCCGATGGCACCGTGCCTGGGCCTGGACGTCGTTCTGTGAAATCGAAACATTCGCGTAAGCAACAGAGCGCGGTTCGAGGGGGAAGAGGGGCGGGAAATTTGGCAAACAGGTTTCTAAACTGTCTTTATCGCAGGGACTGAGAGACGGTGCAAACAGCGCCCTGAAATGTCATTGCAAGTCCCCGCCATACAAAATCAACCACACGATCAACCCAGGGCAATGCTTCGAACCGTCAAACCACGAGAGAAGTATCCGGATGGGCATAGTCCGGGGCTATGGGGGAAGGGTCGGGCTACACCCGGGTATACCATGATGTGTCTCCATAATCTTGTTATTCCGCGACGTGACTTGTCTGGGAAGGGGTGGGGGCTGCACCTATAGTCGTGCATGCCGTAGTCGTCAGACCATTGACCTCGCATACCTACAAGCCGGGAGCCGCACGTTTCAGCAAACGTCGTACATGTGTAGCCCGCCGAATCGGATACGCGCAACTCAACGCAAAACAGAGCCAAAGACCGGTCTTGTGACTACCTGTGGATTCCAGTCACTGTCGTAGATGATGCAGGTGTCCGCGGCCGTGAGAGTGATACCGACCCCGCCCGCCCTTGTCGAGAGCAGCATCACCAGCATGTCGCTATCGGGGGCCTGGAAGCTGTCGATCTCCTGTGCGTGCGGATATTTAGCCCAGAGTGCAGGCGGGAGATACCGGTTTCGAACTGGGAGATCGGTGAGTGGACTCAACAAAGAGGTCACACCATTGCCGAAGAGTTGCTGGGAGGCGGAAGCTACAAGAATTTTGCTACACGCATGATCAGGACACACGCCCTCACAAAAATATCGACCATTAATAAAAATATCCAGAGCTCGCGCTTCTTACAGCCAGTCTTGTCGCGGCATTCTAGCCACCAGCTCAACAACAAACGCAAAAACGGATAAATAACTGCACACCTTTTGACGCTGACGACCCTGGATGTCACCGTCGATGCGGCCGTAGGAAATGTCCGAGGCGATCAAGTAGTCCTCCAGGATGTCCAGCATGATCTTGGGTAGGGAAACAAACGAGCAGGGGTATTGGGCAACAGCAGAGGATCGCGACAGCGGCGGCTCAACGCCATCAATGAACATGGATTCGGGCGGATAACTGATAATTGTAGGCTTCTGTAGGTTTGGCATAGTTCATAGAGCATCTGAATTAACTGAAGAAACGAAGTGGCCATGCATGGCAGAGCTCGGCATCGAAGGATGGGAACTTGGCCCTACCTTGAACTGGCTGAACAGAAGGACACGATGCCCTTGCGTCTTGAGCCTCGGCAGAAGCTTGTCTAGGAGAACCAGCTTGCCAGAGTGCTTTACGAGGTGTTCCTGTAGACGAGAAAAAATACGCCTGCAGTCAAACCCCCGTTGATACGCCAGACAACTGACAAACTGATGACACTTCCCACGAGAAACACACGTAGCGCTATCAGACCAACGGCGGACACGGAAATCACCCCCAACAACACGATGAGATCGATCAACGGCGGACAACAGTCAAAACTGCGCCGATGATATCACCCGCTCACAAGAGACAAAAATATAGTGTCGCCCACCTTGCTGGTCTTGTTTTCCCCCAACTGCTGGGTCACGTCGTCCTCAACCCCACTGTCCCATGCTTTTCCCCAAGAGAGGCACCCGTACGGCAGGCCAAAGCATGAAAGTCAGACGGCGACGCGCGGCGGGCGCCACAAAAGTTAAACGCTCGAGTATTGGGACAAGAAGCTCCAATATCGATGATATTTGGTCCAGACTCTTGATGCGCTTAAAATTAAAGGACCGGTCCATGAGCTTCATTGTCAACTTTTTTTCGCAAGCAGCAATCGACTCGCCCACCCCGACAACAAATCGGCAGCCCGCCGACCCAACCGCTCTCACGTGATGAGATAGGGGTGGTTGTAGCACTTCCTCAGCTGCATGGCGAGGTTCATCAGGCTCGGGGCGTCCTTCGCTTGCTTCTTCCCTTGGAGGAGGAAGGTCGTGTTCCGGTCGTAGATGGCACGGTAGTACTGCTTCTGGATCTCCGTCAGTTCGACCTGTTCGTCGGCGACGCGCAGTCGAGATGCGGTGCGATGACAAGCGTGTGTTTGTAGATGTGCGTACCTCGTTGATTTGAGATGCCAATCCCGGCTTGCTTACCCTGTACCTTCCACGCGCAACTTCGGAGGTGGCACATTACGCTAGATGAAATCGGGAGGGGGGCAAGCAACGCTCTTGGTCTACACATGTCCCTGTTCTGGGTTGATACACAGGTGCAGGATGGAAACAGACGAACTGTCATAGGGCAGGCGTAGAGCTCGTCCGAAAGTTGCAGGTCGGCTCAATGCTGACACCAGCCTTGAGGAGCAAATCGAGGATCTTCAATACAATACGCTCTACTACGATGAAACACACCCACCTCAATGATGATCTCTTCCTTGGGGAGCACCGCCTTCTCCACGTCCTCCTTCATGCGCCGCAGCAGGTAGGACTTGATTTCTTCTTGGAGCTCTGACACGTCCTCCGCTTCCTGCATCAACCCCGAAACCTCTTAATCATGGCGCGTGAAAAAGGCTGCAACGAGGACCACACAGACCGAACAAAGATATTGGATAAAGGCTGACCATTTGACTACGTGCACAGTCATCGATGACTAGACAAATGGTTTAACAATTGGCGACAAAAGATATACGCTCAGCTCGTTAGCACCCGGCTGGATCACTTGGGTATAGAGCTTCTTGTTGAGAGCAGGGATCTCCGGGGACGGACCCCTCGCCAGGCGCTGCAGGAAAAGAACTAAGGGTGCTTGTGAAAGTGGCCATCTGGGATTCGAACCCGTGCGTGTACCACTTGTTAGTAGACTACTGAGTCAGCGCTAACTAGTCTAGTGGTGTAACTTTATGTTACGAAATGACACAAGTCGAGGTTCAACTCGCACGCCAAAGCAGCCAACATCCTAACACATGAAACAGAAACGGTAGGCGCGTACAACTCTCCAAAGTCAATGTACTCTCTCTGCATATCACCTCTCGCTACAAGTCTCGACTTAACCTTAGTGGGCCATCCAAACTCATCTGCCTTCCAATCGAATACCCACTTAACGTTGATTGCGTTCTCCACTAGTTGCTACTTCGCCGGAGTAAAAGTCCCCGCTTCCAACAAGCCATAAAAACTCCCTTTGCATAGAGTCGCCCCAAAAGTGCCGGTGCTCCGACGCCATGGCCTCTTTGTAGCTCTTGGGGCCACGAAGGTCGCTGGCCTGGCAATGCGGAAGGTCAGGGCGTTGCTCCGGCGGGCGCTGGTCTCGCAGCGTGGCGTCGATGTCTTCCCGGTTGGCGAGG